CCTTGATTGATAGCATTGAAATGTATGTAGTTCAATTATTTAGTCCCTCTAGCCGAGATCTACGGAGAGACCTGGGTGGTTCACAACTCAGCGTAAAGAAGCGGCAATGAAGATCAGCATCTTCAAGTCCAAGTCTGTGGTTCTCAATGAGAAAATGGTGGCTTGTCCAAACCCTCTCTGTGTAAAGTAACGGAATCCAAATATCTGAGGATACTTTTCATAGGTCAGGACACAATGGAGTTGAAGCTTGGCTGACGGATCGGTGAAGAAGCCTCTTTAACGCAGGTAATGCACCGATCTGTTGGGGTGAAAACAGTGCGAAGCAAAAAAGAAGAACCTCATCCCGGTTAAGATGTTGGAATTTATGACGCCAAACACTGTCCAGAGGCTCATTTACTTTACCCTTGATTCTAACCCTGCAGACTGGAAGTATCCCACAAACGTGTAGCTTTAGGGATATATCTGTACAGACAAAACTTGGCTAAAATTATAAATGTGTGCACCTCACATTATCTCAGAGAAAAAAAAATCACTGTCAACCCATTTTATGTCCTACCTTCTAACATGTCCAATGATGTAGTCGTAATTGCCTCACCTGTCATGTTATGCCCGATCAGTAAATGGTTAGCGTACTTCTCATGTCATATGAGTTAAACTGTTGTAAATGTTTAATCATAAGCTGTCAGGAATCAACAAACCGCTTGTTTCGTTGTAGGTGACCTTTAACTGAAACTGAAGAGCAAAAGATGTAAAGAATCCAACACATTCAGCAATATTTATAAAAATATATTTCACAAAGTAGGAAACAATACAGGGTATCTTAGATTACAGTACAGGGAGTAAATAATTGAACATACACATTTATAAGCATTTAAGCACATTAGAAAATATGATCTGCATGTAGAACTATCCCATATATATTGTTTTGTCTACTAAGAACTGCCAGAATAATGTATCAGTACAAACTGAGAATGCACGCAGCTGTAGTGCCATTGAATTGTCATTATGTGCAAGAGCTAACGTGCAGAGACAAAACCTACCACCTCATTGAAAGCTAATGACGTTAGCGGTAACTCTATGTACAGTACAAGACTTTTTTTATTGGTATCATACAGTGTAAGCACAATGTGGACATGATTTTAATCAGTTTCTTAAGTTTCTCGAGATCTGTGTTTGCTAAATGAGACTTGATGATGGAAGGAAGTTATTCTCCTTGGTCCTGATTGGATAGTTGTGCTCAGAGGTTCAGTTACTATAACCTTAAATATGGTAGGATCACATTATATCTTCAATCTGTATGTGTCAGATATTTTCTGGTACAATATTACTGTAAATAAAGTCCATCAGTTTGAGCAACTTTAGAGCTCTAGTGTACCTGCTTACATTTAGGCTATCATTAGGCATGGGCTGTATGAGACTGTGGTGATACAAAAAGTGTGAGTAGAATACCATAGTTTCATGGTGTTATGCCGTCCATGTTGAGAAATGGAATTATTACTCTTGAATCTTAGGTTGTCTATTTTATATTGGGGGAAATTAAAGCAATATTTTATCTCTCTTAATATATTTCTAAAGAGGTTACTGGCATTAAAGCCATATAATTAGTTGGTAACAACCCAAGTAATATACACAGACAAAGAAACCAATACCATTGAATCAATAAAGTGTGGGCAAAAATTTTAATTGCAAAATAAAATAATTATCATTACTGGAGTCATATCACAGCTGCGATTTTGGTTTGGGTTTAGTGCTCCATTGACAGGTTGGCAGTCCGTCAGACACACAACCAGGCACAGCAGAGATTACACCAGATATTTCGTAACATTTATAGTTGAACTCAATTTTGGAGTAAGCAGCCAACTTCCTAACCTGACTCCGCCAGATGGATTTGCTCTGCAAATATAAGTAATTTTGGGAAGGGGCGAAAATACTGGTTAGCTGATTGGCCTATGTTGGTGATAGATGGGCCAAATAAACCAATCAGATCAACGAAGCATATGACGTACTAACAGAGCGACGAAGTAGAGGAGCCAATTGATAGATCAAACTCTTGCCGAAACCAGTCGGGAGAAGAGCAAAAACATCTTTTCCTCTGAGAAAAGCCTGCAGAGCAGTGTTTTGCTCTTCTTTCAGTGAAGAAATACTCTGTAATTCCGATAAAACTTGCTCGATAGCAACGCTAATGCTAGTTTCATCGGCTGAAGCCGCCATTTTCTTTAGACTGAACTGTCACGCTTCTCGTTGCGAAACACCTCAACCCGCCTCAGAGCCAACGCTGATTGGCTCCAAATTTTCTTTAACGGAAAGTAGCCAGACTGATCTGCGAGTGAAACCTTGAAAGTTCGCGAGATCAGGATGGTCTCACGAGGCTACCAACTTCCATTGCTGCAGCAATTTTCCATCACACCAGATCTTAAAATCTTAGATTAGGCAAAAACATTTGTGTTGATCTTTTAATGCAATTAATATACTAAGCAAGAGTAGTAAGAGTTCTTGTTTTGAGAATTTATGCCATGAATTTTTAGGTGCAACTGTCTTATCGCATTGCACTTAATTTGACTAGAATCTTCTCAGAAAAAGATTCATAATCTTACAGAATGTGCTCTGGTTTATTTTATTAATACATAAAGACATTTTGGTAACATATAAGACTGTATAAATAGATACTTTTTATCCATTGTGTGTTGAAGGATGTAATAGTACCCGGAGCCCTGCAGCCCATTATACATGAAAATATGCAAACTAATGCTAATGCATAAGACAAGCATATTTTTTTAAAGACAATCTTACAATGTCTCCTGAATGGAGAAACTAATTAAACACATTGTTTAGATGACCTTTTCTTTAGTGTACTTTTATTTTCAAATCATATTGGTTCTTAGAGCCTTTTATATATACCTGTATGATTCAGTCAGTTTCAAAATGATTAACAAAACATTCTTGCTGTTTATTTTCTGTTTCTCTATCACCTATGTTATAAGTAAATCCCTTTTCTGATATTTGGTTAGATTGTATGTTCTCCCTGTGCATGCGTGGGTTCTCTCCGGGTACCCCAGCTTCCTCCCACAGTCCAAAACCATGGCTGTAAGGATAATTATCTTTTCTAAATTGTGTGTGCATGGTTGTGTGTCTTTGTGTGTCACTTTGTTGCCCCGCGAAAAACTGGCAACCTGTTCAGGGTGTACCCCGCCTCTCGCCCATAGACTGCTGGAGATAGGCACCGGCCTCACAGCGACCCTGACGGAATAAGCAGGAGAAGGTGGATGGATGGATTGATGTTATTTGGGTTCTGTCAGTACTCTAAATCTTTCTGTTGGTATGGTATCATTTAGGATATAGAAAAGACAAAGTTCTTCTCCAAAAAGAGACTGTAAAAAGACATCCAAAGAGTACAATTTTTGGCATTAGAATATTGATTCAACTAATTTTTCCGAGTGCTTAATTGAACTACCCAAATTTTCTGATATTTCTTTGGCTGTTTTACCACATGTACTACAGTAATTACCAGATTGTTACTGATTTACACTGAGTTAATGTTCTTTGCACTTTGAGATCAACCTATTTGTTTTTAGAATGCTTTGCAATAATAACGTTGCAAAAGTCTTTAGTTTTGTTTTGACCCATGATGGCCTTGCAAAGAAAGGCCATAAGTTAGGACTAGTTAGGACTAGAACCATCCTCTATTTATGTCTCAGAGGGAAAAGGAAAGTTTTATAAATACTAATAGACATTTCATTTTTTTCCCTTTCATTTTGCCTTAAGCATAATGTCATGTATAACCATAATTATTAATAATTGTGTTGGATTACTCGGGTTGTTACTGACATCTGGTTTCAATCTTAAGTCACTTGCCCTATTAGGAAAAAATGTAGGAAGAAAAATATTTTCTTTGCTTGCTATATGAGTTATATAAGGGTTCAGGAGCCCTATTTTACCCAGCTAACCGGCAGTGCACAGCAATATGTGGGAGGGAGCAGTGTTGCATTACTCAATGCTCCATAGATCCAGTCAAAACTTGGGTACGGATACTCCATAACCTTCTCTGGTTTCATATTAAGAGGAATTGAAACTGTAGAAGATGTGTTGCGGAAAATTACAAACCGTGTTGACGTTTGTTAGAAAGTCCATGCCTAATAATCACCCGCAGGAACTCATGCCACGATTCGGTTGTTATAAAACAGTGATTGAATGTTTGAAAAAACAAGGAATGTCAAATAATCTAAACACACTCATTTCAAATAGCACAAGGGGAAAAATTAAGACTTAAGAACAGATATCCAAAAACAGAACGGAAATGAGGAACCAACACATCTGTTGTCAAAAAACAGTAGATTACAATTGTATTTAATGTTGCTTCTGTAAAAAGAAGGCCTCAAAGTTTCTACATTTCTGTTTTTTGTCTTTATGTCAGTCTTTTATAGGCTAGTAACACTTGCGACCCACACCTGTAGCATGTAAATACAAAGAGTTGTATAAAGCAAGCCTCTCAAGGCTATCAGTCTATAAATGTGGCCACCGGAGAACATATCAAATTATGACAATTTAACCTTAAAGCCAATACTGGTTAGTCCTTTTGCTGCATTTTAAAACCATACATACATTCATCATTTTAATGTAGACCAAGTATTGCTTTATCATTCCCTTCCCCTCTCAGTTAGGTGGCTTTGGGAGACACTGATAGTCCAACTGCAGCTTCTGTAGTCCAGCTCGGTGTCCTGGGAGTACTGGGTAATGGTGACCGTTCGATCGTCAAGAAACCAACAGTTTTTATTCATGTGGTAACTACCAGAAATGCCAGGGTTTTGCCTGCTACTTGCAGCCACGGCAAATCACAAACACCCGAAGTACTGCTAGACACTCCACACTGAATCTAAGTTACACTCCACAAGAATCTCCTAATAAAGACATTGTTTGGCTCAACAAGTACATTGCGCTTGACGTAGTGGATGACGACTGCTAAACCTCACTCTAAAAAGAATACAAAAAGGTGGCTGCTCTTCTTATTAATGTTTTTTTTTTTTTCACATGTTTCAATGAGCCAGCAAATCCTAGTGTTTAATACACAAATATGTTGAAAGAAAAAAAGAAATTGAAAGGTCTTTTTTTTCTCTAACAAACCCAAGGTCAGGTCTCACGGTCACTTTCACCCACAGAGTAGAGCTCCCCAAGTCTCCTGAACCGTGGGCCCCATTCTCTCAGATAGTCATAGTTCTGGTCTGAGTCTGATGATGCCGTCTCCAGTGAACTGAGGGATCCAGCGATGGATCCCCTGCCCTCATACCCATAGATCTGGATGGAGTCGTAAGGTGGAGCTGTTGGATCGTTATCCGCCTCGTGAAGCCGCACGTTGATGAACTCGTCCACGTCCACACCGTTCGGACCAGAGTGCTGCCCTGCTCGGGGCATAAACTGGAGGTCTGGCTTGATGTCCTTGCGCGGCAGATAGCCGTTGATGCCGTCTGGGTTCTGCAGTGTGGCGATGTCAAACGCCTCGGTGTCCTCCTCACCACCTCCCTCATCGTCGTATCGGATAATGTTCTCTCTCACATCTTCATCGTCCTTGATAATTAGGGGCTCATTCTTGTGTCTCCTCAGGGTCACAAACAGTACTACTATTACTGTCCAAAAAAAATTGGGAGAAGAACAAGAAAGAAAAAAAAGAAAACCTGGTTAAGCTTAAAAACCGGGCTTCGACAATTTCAGTTTTTCAGTCTCTATTAAAAAAAAAAAATTGACCCAATGTGAGTTAATCGTAGTATTACTTTACTCTGTGTTTTATGTTTAAATTATTTCCTGATGTTTTAATAATATGCTTTTTTTCTTAAAGAAATGTAGTCTCCAGATTCATCTAAAATGACCTAATTGATGGATGCCATTCTTGGACTTACCGTATCCAAAAAAACAAAATAAAAATCCATAAAATCTGGCCATGGTGGGGCCTATAAAACATCTGTCAATCTACTTTATCTACTGTCGAAAATTTATTGGCTACTTGTATGTCAATCAAACATTTTGTATAAGTGCCATCATGATGTTATTTACGTAGTCTCCAAGCGTTACTCATATGCTGTTTGGCTAGCGGTCCGCCATTAAGCTGAATAAAGTACTCTTATGCTCGTTTGCTGCTGCTGCTTCTTGTTGAGCTATTTGTTCACTCTTTTGTGTAAACTGGAGCACCAATGACTGATTCTGTATTAAGTGCTGTATTTTTTTTATTTTGAAACATGCACAGTTGAAAACGTGTCAAGTGATATGTTGACAACATAGGATGTGCAGCCTGCATTCCGTGTTGGTAGCCTAGGTGTAGACTAGGTGAATCCTGGCACTTTGCTAACCTGACTCCACCAGATGGATATGCAGAGCAAATCCTGCCGTAGAAGTAATTTTGGGAAGGGGCGAAAATACTGGTGTAGCTGATTGGCCTATGTTGGTTATAGACGGGCCAAATAAACCAATCAGATCAACGAAGCATATGAAGTAACAGAGCGACGACGAAGAGGAGCCAATTGATAGATCAAACTCTTCGGGAGAAGAGCAAAAACATCTTTTCCTCTGAGAAAAGCCTTCAGAGCAGTGTTTTGCTCTTCTTTCGGTGAAGAAATACAGTGTAATTCCGATAAAACTTGCCCGATAGCCACGCTAACGCTAGTTTCATCGGCTGAAGCCGACATGTTCTTTAGACTGAACTGTCGCGCTTCTCGTTGCGTCACACCTCAACCCGCCTCAAAGCCAACGCTGATTGGACGTTCGTTTGGTGAACAGCTCCAAATTTTCTTCAACGGAGAGTCTCCAGACTGATCTGCGAGTGAAATCTTGAAAGCTTGCGAGATCAGGATGGTCTCACAAGGCTAGCACTTTGCTGCTTCTCTAGGCGTGGATACCTTCTGCGAAGGAGGGGGCACTGATGCATGCGCACAATTCAAAAATACACAAACAGCCGACACATATATTTTCTATCACTGAATCTTCTTTCCTGCATTTAATGGTTTAATTTTGTTTGACATTTTGTTAACTTTGCTTTTTTAAAGTGATATATAAATAACTTTTACTTCACTTGAGAATTACTTTTCTATCGCTCTGCACATAAAATCTAAACCTATGTCTCAAGATACAGTGAAGTGTGAGGGTGTAATGTGACAAAGCATACGTTGTCATAAAGTGTATGTAAATAAAAGAAAGAATAAATAATTCACCTAACAAAAGTATGATGCAAGCCAAGATGGCGATGAGAGCCCCCATGCTAAGACCGATGGGAAGGACATAGGCTTCCACGTTACAGGACTGGACAATTCCATCTCTGCTGCACCCACAGACCCGGATGGTTAAGGTGTTGGTACTGCTCATGGGTGGGTTACCGTTGTCTGTCACAATGATTGGCAGGAAGTACATCTCTTGCTTCTGTCGCCGAAAGGTATCATGCTTGGCGAGAACACTGATTGAATTGTCTGTCAAAGAGAGAAAGAGAGAGAGTGTGAATTTAGAAATTAATTTTCAGAAGGGTGTGTGAAAAGCCCATTATTATTTGTGGTGACAGACTAAAATCCTGTTATCAAATTGTGTGAAAATCAGGCGTAAATTAATCAGTCGTCGCCAGGCTTTTAAGCGTTCTCACATCTCAATGCTATAGACGACTTACTTTCTTTCTTCTTGATTCTCATTTGGGGAATTACCTGGAATTTAGACAAACCAAAGGAAGGTGGCTCCAAGTTTGCTTTTACTTCTCTTTAAAAACTCTAGAAATGAAGGGACCACGGCAGGCGACACTGGCACATGTCGACCCAGAAAGGTGCCAGCTGCTCTTTGATGACACTTCTGTGAAGCTGTCTGCTCATTAGCTGGCACTTCTTACCCGGCTCACATTATCAAACACTTCCCTTCCCACAAGAATCTACTTCTGGTGATCTTATTGAAAACCTACAAGATGTCTGATAGTCTAACCTTTGCCTCATTGCTTTAGGGTGTGTTAGGGAAGGAGGATGGAAATCAGAGGGTCTTATTATAGAGAGAAAAAAGAGCCACGTTGGGGCTTCTTCATTGACAAAAAGAACTTAATCAAAAGATGGAACGCTTCATGATAGAATCACTTGCTTCGCACAATCTGTAATTGATGTGAACATATGCTCAGATTTATTTTCTTACAAGTGCTGCCACTAAGTGGTGCGCTCTGCTTTGTGAGCACCAGCATGTCCTACTTCATTTGAATTTTTTAGCAATCCACACAGAGCAGGCAAGTAGAAACTCTATTCTAGTAAACTATCAGGGTACGTGCTGGTATGCAGGTCACTCCAGCTTTCTTTTTTAAACACCGTTTGTAAAAATAGAATAATAAAAAAAATCTCTTGTCTGTCAGCCCAACCAGAGAGAGTCAGCAGCTCAAAGAACAAGGCGGCTGTGTAGGTTACCTTCAAAGACACTGAACTCACCGCACTTACAAGAATGCAGCTTTACTCCTCTTTCACATAAAAGGCCGTAATAACGGTGTTTATTCCACTAAAATATTAGGTTCAAAGGCACACAGAGTACATTTTAATGCTGTCACAAAGTTAAGAGCACAGGTTTGTTTAAATTAGGATTTTAGATATAAAAAACTCATCATGTTTGAGGCTACAGATGACAACGCTGACAGAAAAGTGTCACTAGGTAAAAATATCTACATTACATCGTGCAAAGATGCTAAAAGGCCATAGTTTTATTGCAATAAAATGTATAAAGAAAGGAGAGTGAGAACAGATTTCTTTGTACATTTAACTTTATATCTCAATCAAGTCTTTACCTGCTAAAAAACTTTTTTTTACATCTAACCTTTTTATTTTCTTAAAAGTTGTTGTGCTTTTGTCCCAGTTAATGTACATGTGGCTAATTCATACAAAGAAAATAAAACATTAATTGAAAATTTAGATGCTACTTTGATTAAAACAATACTTCTTCTATAGATCTAGACATGAAACCTTATTTTAAATAAAAACATAGCAAATAATTAACATGAATGTATCGTCCAGTAGGTTACTGAAGCAAACCCCCCTAAATAACCAGCCAAGATGGCCCATGTAAACATCTTCTGTTTGCTATCACATTTTTAACACTCTTTTATTAATACTTGGCCTACTGAAGTAAATGTATATTTTTGAGGATCATTACTTAAATGGCCATTTTGTAACGAAGACTTTAAGTTTTATTTCAATTAAAGTGGAGATCTAAAGATTTTACTTCTATTGCTTTGCTAAAAACTCTGAGACATTCTGAGACAGAAATTAAAATATGACCAGATTTTATCATTAAGAAATTAATTCATGTAAAAATAGCATTTGTACAAGAGAAGAAAAAGAATGGCACCCTGTCCGTTTAGGTCCCCACTCCTTAATGATCAGTGGTTATTATTCATCACATTGTTTACTACATTTTTTCAGCGTTCTTTTTTTTTTTTTTAATGGTGACTCATTAAGAGCAACCTGTCCAGGAGGGACCCCGCCTCTCACCTATAGACAGCATGAGATTGGCACAAGCACCCCTCGCGACCCCATTTGGGATAAGCGTGACAGAAAATGGATGGACGACTCTTTCAGAACAGAAATTTTAATTGCTTTTGTTCCTTGATAGAGGAGAGAAAGCTACGTATACTGATACATCCATCCATCCATTTTCTTACACGCTTGTGGGGTCGCGAAGGGTGCTGGTGCCTATCTCCAGCAGTCAATGGGCGAGAGGCGGGGTACACCATGGACAGGTCGCCAGTCCATTGCAGGGCAGACAGGACAAATAACAATTCCCACACACTCACACCTAAGGGCAATTTAGAGAAGCCAATCAACCTAACAGTCATGTTTTTGGACTGTGGGAGGAAGCCGGAGTACCCGGAGAGAACCCACGCATGCTCAGGGAGAACATGCAAACTCCATGCAGAAAGACCCCGGGCCGGAAATCAAACCCAGAACCTTCTTCCTACAACATCGGATAAACCCAAGTAACAGCTAAACCATGCTGCATGATTGGTGGAAAAGTTTAATTTAATTTGATTTGCTTCTAAGTTATTTCAACACATTGCACTTTTGTGTTTTTTTCCCTCTTGTGCTTTCTATGTTTTAACATATTCTACCTTCATTGTTGTTACCCAATTGAAATAAGGGGAACAACAGAAAATAGTTTCTTGGTTTCTTAATGTAGAAAAATACTCAGTATTTTTACTTTCCCAGTTACAGTGAACAATTGGTACAGATTTTCACTTTTACCACAATAGCATTTTAGTTTTACTATATCATGTTTTTGACTATGTTATGTATCTTTGTCAGAGATTAAATACAGTATACTGTGAGCCCTTTTAGGTCATCTCTTGGTTAGCTCATATGTTTTGATCAAACATTCTTAGATAAAATGTCATGGTGTTACTATTAGCTGTCATAATGCCAGCACAATGAAAGGGCAACTGTTTTATATGTGGTAGTTATATGTTAAAAATCTCCTATATGCCTTTCAGGAAAGCAATGGCGGCTCCAGAAATGTTCCATAGGGGGGCCAGATAAATGTTGGGGTGGCCACTAAAACTAAAAGCCATAATTTGAGGGTTTAAATCTGCTATTGTTCTAAACCTGCCTGTAGAAATGATAAAGACTTCAGTAAACACCTACTCATATCTTGGTTTATTGTGTGATTTTTAATGTTACGTCACTGGCTGTGCATAATGGGATGAAATGCTAAACTAATATTACTACAATTTACATCAGTGGGTGGGGTGGCCAGGGCTTTTAACTGGGTGGCCTTGGCCACCCCTTTGTGGCGCCACTGCAGGAAAGCACTAGAATTTTCTAATTTTTGTGTCGCTGTACAAAACTCGATTCACAACACAGGATAATAAGTATGATGTATGAGTATAAGATGAAAGTATGTTTCCCCATTTTGCATTAAAAAAACAAAAGATTGTGCTCTCAATGGGGTTTTAGTTCTATATGTGGTAAAGTGCTAACCTGACTCCGCCAGGTGGATTTGCTCCGCATATCCATCTGGAAACCTTCCGTTGAAGTAATTTTGGGAAGGGGTGAAAATACTGGTTAGCTGATTGGCCTATGTTGGTGATACACGGGCCAAATCAACCAATCAGATCAAACAAGCATATGATGTACTAAAAGAGCGACGACGAAAACACAACCACAAGCCCACTACTCTTGCCGAAACCAGTCGGGAGAAGAGCAAAAACATCTTTTCCTCTGAGAAAAGCCTCCAGAGCAGTGTTTTGCTCTTCTTTCAGTGAAGAAATACTCTGTAATTCCCATAAAACTTGCTCGATAGCCACGCTAACGCTAGTTTCATCGGCTGAAGCCGCCATGTTCTTTAGACTGAACTGTCGCGCTTCTCGTTGCGTCACACCTCAAACCGCCTCAAAGCCAATTCTGATTGGACGTTCGTTTGGTGAACGGCTCCAAATTTTCTTCAACGGGGAGTCTCCAGACTAATCTGCGAGTGAAACCTTGAAAGCTCGCGAGATCAGGATGGTCTCACGAGGCTAGTAAAGTGCTAACAAGAAATAAACGTGGAGAAGTACTAAAGAAATAGTTTAGACCTGAAACTTTGACTACAAGTCTGACAATAAGACTCAACTTTCCGTAGTAATGTTTTTCTACCCATCCCTGGTGTGCTGTTTCTACAGTTCAATAAAAAAGAAATGGCAACTCTAAAATCATAGGTACCATAATGGCAGATGAACAGAGCCAGAGTATCGTTTATTGGCAAAACTGCTCTTTACACATGGCCGTGTTAGTCTGTGAGTACATAATCATTGTGTATTGAAATTTCCAGGAATAAATCTGGAACCTCCAGTAACCGGTTATTTTTTCTTATGAATTAGTATCTTTTGCATCCTTGGCTGTTTCAGGACCTTAGCCATTTTCCCGATGGCTGGCAACCCTTAACCTCTTCACTGTGTAAACCCTACAATTAGATTCATCATTGCAAACAAAAGCCACGTACAGAGGCTGACAGAGACCCTGATGCTCTTCACTCAAGTGTCTCCCACAGCTGCCTTTTCAAATAGAAATAGCCACTGAAGTGCAGGGGGATATGGTGCAACGGGCTGCTTTTCTCTGTTTTGAATTAACAAAATTATATAGAAGTGGCAGGTGTAGTGCTGTGTGTTGGGGCATTTTATAGAGCCAAAGAAGAACACAACACATTTACTGTGGTTTGGAAAAGTCAGACAAAATGAAGGCGCTTTGTTGTTGGGATTAATGCAGGGCTGTTCTTTCGGTGTCGAGAAATTGTTTTCAGAATTAAATTAGATCTAATAGATCAACACAAAGAAGTGTCTAATTATGAAATAGAAGGAAATGAAATGGTTTTAATTTTCTTTTCTAAAAAAAAAAAATCTGAAAAATGTATAGTGTGTTTTCTTTGTGATTTGGGATGTGATTCTAAACATGAAGTAGACTCCAACTCCTACCCAAGATCTCTTGCAAGC